GAGACCATCAGCTCCTCGTGAATGATCACCTTGCTGATGATGGAGTGGAATGCATAGGGGGCAGGTCCAGGTCAAGCATGTCAGCCAGCGTCTCCATGCTGATGGAGTCATAGACTCTGCTGTAGGTGAACAGGTAGGTCCACAGTGACTCTCCCTGGATCGTCCTAACCAGCATGGTGCAGAGTTTGTCAGCCTTAGGGAAAAGGTCCCACACTTTGCCATTTACCTTCTTGTTGATGAAAAAACTGTGGCAGGTCTTCCAGTCACCCATCTTCATGAACTTGGTGGTGGCCACTACATGTTTCCTCATTGACTCAGGGGGGAGCCAGCAAGGGCTGTTGGTTGCCCACCTGCAGCTAGTGATGGAACTGCTTGCTGATCACGCATTGGCGGGCATCACTCTCATGGGCAGCCATGTAGGGAATCTCCAACGACATGGCAGACACCAGATAGACACACTCCAGTAGCTCCAGGCTGATGTGCAGGTGGAAGGGTACCTGCTAGCACTGCTCCACCTTCTCCTGCTCCTGGTGGTGCTCCTGAAGACTGGGCAGCAGCAGCCCCTGGCTCAGAAGCTCCTCAGCCTGGCCACTTGAGTAGATGTCCAGCGGAGTATAGTGTGCGTCCTTGGTCAGGCCTTGGTGGAAGGCACAGATCCCCAGCTGTACCATGGTGTGACTGTACAGGATCTGCACTGGTGGGTTTGTGTGCTGGATCTTGTCTTGAAGGTGGTTCACGAGCATGAGGTCATGGGCCTCGTACCAGCAGGAGTGCAGAGCATGATGGTAGATATGGTAGAGGATGGCACACATGTGGATATGGTCTGTGCGGTCATTGGCATAGATGTGCTTGCACGTTCTCTCCATTTGCACAACTGAGTCTTTACCTTCATTTTCTGCCTGGTCTTGCTCAGACTTTGAGGAGCCCTGGGTGGTGTAGGGTGTGGGGGGGCTAAGCTGCTACTTGATGAGCCTTGTAATCAACCTTCTAACAGCCGTGGAGGATGCGCCTCAAGCAGATGCGGCAGATCTCCTCTGTGTGTCCTTCACCTCCAGGTAATGCAGCATGTGCTCAGTGATGGCATATACCTTTGCCTTATCCTTCAGGTGCTCTGCGTACTTTTGGAAGTGAGAATCAATGTTTTGCATTATGTTGGTAAATTCTTCATCCATTTGTTCCACCAGAGCTAGGCTACTGCTATGGACTTATAGTGGCTGGTCAACATTGTGCAGGTTGTCACTCTCTTCCAGATGTTCTCCCCAACAAAGATGTTGGGGCTTGTAAACAGGATGTCCATCAGCTCATTGATGCAGTTCAGGTACTTCTGCCACATCTCTGGGCTGTAGTCATAGAGAGATATCATGATGCTGAACTTGATCTGGACAATGACATCCTTCCCCAGGTTGTGGCTGGTTTGGCTGAGCTCCGGAGTCACACCACAAACCCGACACAATGGAAAACCTATTTACATCTTTGGTTAAACTACTTGATGTGCATTATTGTTATTTCTTTAATGCCTATCTGCCACTCTCTAACTCATTATTAGCAGTGTGTCTTAGTCTGGGTTCTTTAGAGGAGCAAACCAATGAAGTGTGTGCATATATATATATATATATATATAGAGAGAGAGAGAGAGAGAGAGAAATTTACTTCAAGGAAATAGCTCACACAATTGTGAGGAAATGGCTCATGCAATTGTAGGGGCTGGTGACAGCAGGCTGGAGACCCAAATGTGTGGGTCAGGTGACCTCAGCTGGATCATATGGTTGTAGGGGCTGACAAACCCAAACTCTGCAGGTCAGGTGGCAGGCCAGAGACTTCTGCTGGGTTATGTCCCAAGAACCAGAGGTCAGTCAATGAGAAGAGTGCAGGGTCAATAAAGAGAGTGAGATTTGCCAGAACATCCATTCATATACTGGAGGCAGGCCACACCCCCAAGGAAACTCCCCTTTCAACTGATTGGCTGCTCACATCAGATCACAAAATGGAAGGTGATTACATAGTGTTTGCCAAACCACTGAGAAACAGAGCCTAGCCAAGTTGACACCTAACATTAACCATCACACAGTATAAATACCAAAAAATAAAACCAAAAAAACCCCCAAATCCTTTGCTGTAGAGTTGATTCCGACTCACAGCAACCCTACAGGTCAGAGTAGAACTGCCCCATAGGGTTTCCAAGGAGTTGCCGGTGGATTCGAACTGCTGGCTTTTTGATTAACAGCCAAACTCTTAACCACGGTGCCACGAGGCCTCCAACATTAACCATCACGCAGTATAAATAGGTATAATTAAATTTTTTTTCTCATATCTAACCATTTAACTAAGTTATTTTATTGTCTCTATTTATTTTTAGGGATTGTATTTTTTTTTTTTAAGAATTTAATATATCTTCTGCTATTAAGAAAACTTTTCCATCCTCCCCAATTTTTATTCATATTATTTAATATAATATTTGCAATTTTTATTCCTCTTTTAAACTTTCAAGGTTGGATTAGGTTTCCTAAAAGTGCAGTGGTATCTTTTGCTGTTAAGAAAGTGTTTCCATCCTTTTCCAATTTTTATTCATGACACTTTTTTTTCTTGACTTACAAATGTCTGAATCATCAGAACCTTATTAAACAATAATAGAGATCAAAGTTGCCTTGTTTTATTCCTGATTTCTAGGGGAACATGGAAACACTTAAAGGAAAAAAAAAAACGTGGACTTTGGGGTCAGAAAATCTGAGTAGAAGCTTTGACTTGTGCAACTTTCAGCAGTTTGAACTTAGACAAGCGGCTAGCTGCTTTGAGTCTTAGTTTCTCGATTTATAGAATGCAGTTAGTGGTGAAATATATGACCTACCTTCTTTGTACCATTTGTCCTTCTGAAGTATCCTAAAATGTGGTGTTGCACTGACAGAGCCAGGGGATCCCCAAATATGTGGGTATGTTCCTATTTTTAGCTCATGCTGCAGCCTGCAGGCTCTCCCCGGCATAGTTTCGAGCTCAGACTTTCCAAGTTCAGCTACAAAGCTGCCTACAGGAACATGTCCTGATTCTGACTCCCACAATCCCCCAAGGCAGAAATTAACTATTCCTCAGACTCCCATGCCCCATCGTCAACACATCTTTAACTGCACTTGCTACTTTCTTCTGCGAAGTAATTGGTTTTTAGGAATTAGCATCTCTTTTAGACTGAGTTTGCTGAAAGGAAGCAAGCTTCTAGTGTCTTCAGTTTCTATCTTGCCTTAGTAAACCCTAGATAAAACTGGATTATGGAATGATTTCAATCATCACCAAGACCCTGGTAATCCACTGTTTATCCCTCCTACCCATACAATAATATTTTATTTGAAAATATGCTGGCTATGGCATATTCTAGTTTTATCAAGAGTTCTTACAAATCACAGGCTTGTCCTTTGCGTTGGAGGGAGGAGAAATGCCATAAAGTTCATAAAATTATGGACTATCTATCTGCAGGCATATGTATATACATGTTTGAATGTGCTGCATATGTCATCATACATATAATAAAGCACATAGGAGGCACAGTTATGAAGATTTCCTAGACATATCCAAATACCTTGTGGGATTTGTTTACTGGATTAAGAGGCTTGGATCATAGTCTCATGGGACAACTCAGTAATTGGCATATTATAGTTCATAAAGATAATATTCTACTTCCTAGTTTGGTGAGTAGTGTCTGGGGTCTTAAAAGTTTGTGAGTGGCCATCTAAGACACAGCTATTGGTCTTTACCTGTCTGGAGGAAAAGAGAATGAAGGAAACCGAAGACTCATAGAAGAAACTAGTCCACAAGACTAACAGCCCACACAAACCACAGCCTCTTCTCATCTGAGATCAGAACTAGATGGCGCCCGGCTACCACTAGTGACCATTCTGACCAGGGACACAACAGAATGTCCCAGATAGAATGGGAGAAAAATGTAGAACAAAATTCAAATTTCTAAATAAGGCCAGACTTACTGGACTGATACAGACTAGAGGAACCCCTGAGACTATTGCCCTAAAATACCCTTTGAACTTGGAACTGAAGCCACTCCCAGAAGTCACCTTTCAGACAAATAATAGACTGGCTTGTAAAATAAACAGTATCACTCATGAAGTGCTCCCTGAAACAATCAACTATATGAGACCAAATGGTCAACATTTACCCAAAAGCAAAGATGAGAGAAGCCAAGGAGGGGCAGGGAAGCTAGATCAATGGAAAGAGAACAAACAGAATGGAAATAAAGAGAATGCTGACACATTGTGAAAACCATAACCAATGTCACGGAACAATTGGTATAAAAATTGTTAAGTGGGAACCTAATTTGCTGTGTAAACTTTCACCTAAAACACAATAAAATATTAAAAAACAAAAAATGGACTATCTCAGAAATGTTTAAACAGAAATAACACTAAAATGGTATATTTCTAAATTTTGAGGATGGGAAATTTTGAGTAATTTCCCCCTTCTATGTTATCTTGGCTTCCACATTTCTGCGTTGAGCATGTATTGTTTTAGGATTAGGACAAAATTTCTTGGCTGCCAACTGAAAGGCTGGCGGTTTCAGGCCATACGGAGGTGCCTTAGAAAAAAGGCTGACCATCTGCTTCTGAGAAATCAGCCTTTGAAAACCCTATGGAGTCCACTTGTACTCTGACACGCACGCGGTCGCCGTGAGTTGGAATGGACTCAGGGCAATTGGTTTGGCGGCTGCTGCTGATTATAAAATCAGGCTGCAAGCACAAGCGGTGTTTCCAGTTAAAAACTCCGCTTAGCTGCCCTCATAAGTAAAGGTAGTGTATATTTTTATAACATTTTTCCTTTAGAGTCTAGTAAAAAAAAATTTTAAAGTTTGTTTTTCTCTCAAGGAAGCACACTCCGTGTGCTGTAGCTCATTGGCCAGCAGCTCCGCACCTTGACCAATCGCGCGGGGCCGGGTCGTCATGGCGACGGGAACGCTAACGCAAAGCGTATCAAGGGGAGGCCCGCTTACCGGAGATCAAAGAACTATGGCACAGAACTTGTACGGCCCAAGAGTCCGGATAGGAAACTGGAACGAGGACATCTACCTGGAGGAGGTACAGAGGGCCGTGGCCGGGCGCTGACCGCCGACTCCAGCGGGTGCCCCCAGACCCTCAGTATCTGGGAGCTCAGGGACTCCCAAACCCTGCCTTGAGTTCAGCTTCCTACTTTGAGCCTCCCCAAGTCCCCTCTCCCATCGGGAATACACGGAATACCCCTAAATTCCCATCCCTCTCTGAACTCCCAAGGAATCCCACCCGCTGTCCTGCAAACCCAGTTCTCCCGGCCCTTTTACTCTGAGGGCCGTAACACTCTGTCCCGCTGGTTTCCTTGGCCTCCCAAATTCTGTACTTTGACTCCCAGGCTCATGCCTCCCCCTTAGTCTGTTGTTAGTTGCCCGTCTGGTCGATTTTGACTCATGGCGACCCCATGTGTTACAGAGTAGAGCTGCTCCATAGAATTTTCTTGGCTGTAATCCTAACGGATTGGAGCCCTGGTGGAGCAGTGGATAAGAGCTCGGCTGCTAATCAAAAGGTCGGTAGTTGGAATCCACCAACCGCTCCTTGGAAACCCTATGGGCAGTTCTACTGTGTCCTATAGGGTTGCTGTGAGTTGGCATCCACCGCAACAGGTTTGGTTTTTAATCCTAACGGAAGCAGATGGCAAGGCCTCTCTTCCAGGTACCGCTGAGTGGGTTCCCTTTAGTTTAACAGTCAAGAGTAAACCATTTGCACTACCCAGGGACCTCCCCTTAGTCTAGAGCCCCACTAAGTTCTTCCTGTTCCTTGAAGTTTTATAGTCTCAGAGACTGCAGTCCGTTGAAAAGACTCTAAGCACAACACCCCCTTCCTGCAACTCCCTCCTGAGCATCCCTTTTACTGACATTGTATGCACTGCCTTGTCTTGACAAGGCCCTGGACCAAGCCACACCCGTGTTTCTTTCTGGTTGAGTGGGTGGCCTTTTCAGTGACAATCATCACACAACCAGGGGAGATCTCAGTAGGGGCAGATGCTCTCAGATCTACCTCATGATTGCCTCTGGCTGGAGTGATTACAGGTGATTTTCCTTCCTTCTTTCTCTCTCTTTCTCTTTCTCCCTTCCTTGCCTTTCTCATTTCCCCAAGCATTCTACAATGAAGTAAAAATATTCAAATAATACGTTTTTTTTTAAAACCATTCCCATATGCTCACATTTCTTTTTCTGTTCTCAAATTTAGCTTTTTGAACTTGAGATGCTTCCGATCTAAAGCCTAGCAACCATCATATGTATTATTCAGGACTATTATTGACCCTCTGGATTTCATTCATTTTCTCTTCAACCAGGAGCTCATGAAAGACTTCTTAGAGAAGAGAGACAAGGGGGAACTTCTCATACAGAGAAACAGAAGACTAAAAGGGAATCTTTTGAGACAGGTAATTTTAAATCCAAACATTGGTTTCAAAATTCTGTCGAATTAAGAGTGACTATATGTTAAGCAAGCAGAAATCCTGTAAATGGGTGATCATTTGGAAAATAACAGTTTAAAAAAAACTGAAAGCCACAACATTTAAAATTCCTCAAGATTTTAGAACCATAAGAGGAGTTGGCTATTAATCATGTTAATCTGTATTTTTAAACAAAAGAATAAATGAATTAATATGTAAATAAGTAAAATGCCACTTAGTTGGTGCTCAAAAATAGTCAATGAATGTTGAAAAAATACAAAAGCTTCCTTTGACTTCATTAGAGATCATTGGGGGCCTTACTTTGCCTTATCAAGGAGTCCCTGGTGATGCTAATGATTAACATGCTTGGCTGCTAAGTGAAAGGTTGGTGGTTTGAGTCCACCTAGAGGCCCCTTGGAAGAAGGGCCTGGTGATCTACTCTTGAAAAATCAGCCATTGAAAACCCTGTGAAGCACAGTTCTACTCTGATGCACATGGGATCGCCATGAGTTGGAATCGACTTGACAGCAACTGATTTACTGGTTGCCTTGGCAAAGTGGGTGCAGGCAGTTAAAAAGGGAAAACAAGGATTTGAGGGAATCCAAGTAAATCGTTTATGGAAATGGATTCTAGTCTGACAAGGAAAAGATACACCTGGGAGAGGCCTCATCACTGGCTATTGAGGAATTGCATGGTTTGTTTGAAAAAATTATTAAAATTGCAGATGCAGCTTTCCGTGTCTGAAGATGGATGTATTCACTATGGTGACAAAGTGATGCTTGTGAATCCTGACCATCCCGAGACAGATGCTGATGTGTTTCTGCCTGGGGACCTGAGCCTGTGTATGACTCCAGATGAAATTAAAGCTTACCTGAGTGATGAGTTGGAGGTGCCCTGTGGCCTGAGTGCAGCTCAAACCAAGAACCCGGTTGGCAGAAACACTTTCATGATTCTCAGGTTGGACACTTTAATTTTCAACTAATTTTCATCATCAATCTAAGTTTCTGTTTGCAGCTTATGGATGCCCTGGCATTGGAGCTAGGCTGATTGAAGGTTATATGAACATTCTCTGGGATTCTCCTCTTGTTTTCTTAACTTGAGAATTATCATCAAGGGGTCTTTACAATCCCTTTTCCTTAGACTTCATGATAATTGGTAGTTTGTGTTTAATTCAAAATGCTTAATTCATAGGTATGGGATCCAGGGAATTAAATTCATATTCTGCCTGCAAGTAATGTGGGCTGTCCTGATAACATCTCAGGATTCTTTGAGCTCATTTGGGTACTTTCACTGCTTTTAATGTTGCTACGTTATTTTTGGAGCCCTGGTGATGCAGTGGTTAAGAGCTTGGCTGCTAACCAAAAGGTCAGCAATTCAAATCCACCAGCCACTCCTGGGAAACCCTATGGGGCAGCTCTACTTTGTCCTATAGGGTCGTAAAAATATCTATGTTAATGCAAGGGATTTACTCCTTTAAAGTTAACTGCCCATTAAAAAAAAAAAAAAAAAAAAAGACTTGAGGTGATTTTGAAAATGAGCAATTAAGCCCTTAGAGAACAGAGCGATACGTAACTGCAACGGAAACTACCGCTTTCACTTTGTTAACTAGTTTATGAGTTTCTAACAGCAATGTTTATAGAGCTAGTCCTTTAAGTCTTAAAGAAGCTTCTGAATTTAAATTTCTTTTGAATACAGATAATTTTTGATAGAACAAAAAATGATCACAACTTCTTTTTCTGGATAATCAGAAGAAAAGATTGTATTAAGTGTCTACAAATGTATTCCTTTAGTTTTCTCTGTTGTTGGATGCGATCGAGTTGATTCCAAATCACAGAGACTGAATATGACAGACTAGAACTGCCCCATAGGGTTTTCTAGGCTGTAATCTTTATGGGAGCAGGTCTCCAGGTCTTTCCTCTGTGATGCAGCTGGTGGATTTGAACCACCAACCTTTTGGTTAGCAGCTGAGTGCTTAAGCATTGTGCAACCAGGGCTCCTTTTGGTTTTTCTCTAAAAATGTCAAGTACACTTGACCAGAAATCCTTGTGTGTTGGGTAGTGCTCGGTCCACTCTGGCCAAAGGCTGACAAAGTGGGGATATTCTGTGCTCTGGCTAGGGTGGGGGGTAGGGAATAGGATCCTTGGTGGATTTTAAGGCCGAAACAGAAAACCTCTTATTTAGATATTAGTTCCGTTATGGTATGTGAATATACATAAGCAATAAAACTGATTATAAACAAAATTGCAAATGCAAAAAGTAGAGGTGTAGAATGATTCTAATAGCGAGTTTACAGTATAGTATATTTATTCTCCACTGACAGTGTAGACAGAAAGGCCATCGGTCAAGTCCTTAGATACGGGGAGGACTTTTGTCTTGGCATAACAGGAGGATTTGAAGACAAAATGGTGAGTCATGACTTTGCATGTCTACTTTGGGCCAGTCAGCTTTGTTTTCATGTGGGGTCATGGTGGCCAGCTGAAGTGGATGGAGCACTCTGTAGACATGGCTCCATCCGGCTTCATTATGGCTTCAGCCTGCCCTTTCCACGGGCAGCTTTGGGCCAATTCTTTCCTTCTAACTTTGCAGCACGCTTAAAAGTCAAAGAGTGAGGGAGGGAAACCTTTTTGTAATGCAGGTGGCAAAAAGTAAAAATTTATCCTACCTCCACCTGTAAATTAAATGATTGGATTAATTAATTAAGAATCTTCTAACAGTTGTCGAATGTTACCAGTGCCAGCAAGGTATATGGTCTGATTTTTTTTATTTTTTAAACTTCTGTTGAATATGGGAGAAGGACAACATGAGATGCTTAAGTATGGCTAAGTCAGGGAACTTAAGTCTATGCACTTTATCTCTTCCTTGAAGGTTAGGAGGTGTAATAGAATAGATAAATTTGGGTTTGAATTTTAGCTGGGATGCATACTACCTGTGGGATGGGGCTTTGGATAAATTACTTAACCTTTTTGAGTCTGTTTCACACCTATAACATGGGGATTATTATACCTACCTTACTACCTGCCAAGCAGTGTTCTAAATGCTTTGCCTAACTCATTAACTGATTAGTTAGTTAACTCATTAATTCCCCGAACAAGTCAATGGGGAAGGGACTATTTTACTCCTGTTTTACTGATGGGGAAACTAAGGCACAGAGAGGTTCAGTGATTTGCCCTAAGTCACACAGCTAGTAAGTGACAGAGCTGGTGCTATGCAACGTTTTTCATTGCAAGTTGAAGATTCCATCATTACACGATGTAGCATTATTTTTTGTACCACTAAGAAAAAGCAGTGTTGCCAATTAAACTGTAGCACACCATTGACGGTAAACTGAAGCCTGATTTTAATTGTAGAAATTAGAGGAAATACCAAATTGTGGAAAGAAGGGAGTGAATCACCCATTGTCTTATCCAGAGATTAGCACTACTGACATTTTGGTCCATTTTCTTTTTGTTTTTCAATGTATTCCCTTTTTAAACTTAGATATGAACATGATGAATATACTACTTTGAGCTGTTACTTTTTTTCTCTTCTAACTTTTTAAATATATAAATCGCAAACTTTTAAAAACTTGTATGTGACCATGAAAAATATAGAAATAGATTGCTACTTTTTCTTTTTAACATACACATTTCTGAAAGCTCGTTGTGATAACATGTAATGACTGCATAGTATATAATTGTATGAATGTATCATAATTTATCTAGCCTTTATTCTCTTGTTTAGTAGTTGGGTTTGGTCCAGTGTTTATCTATTATATATAAAACTCCAGTGCATGTCTGTGTTTAAGTGCTTAAAGCTTCCCTCACTCTACCACAGATTAGGGATTACGTCTTTAGGATAGATTCTTTTTTATAATTTATTTTATTTTTTGTTGTTGAGAATATGCACAGCAAAACATACACCAATTCAACAATTTCTACATGTAAAATTCAATGACATTGATTACATTCTTCGAGTTGTGCAAACATTCTTAGCCTGCTTTTCCAAGTTATTCCTCCCCTGTTAACATAAACTCATTGCCCCCTAAGTTTCCAATCTAATCTTTCGGGTTGCTTTTGTCAATTTGATCCCATATAGATAGATCTTAAAAGAGTATAGTGCTCAAGGTGGACATCCTTTACTAGTTAAGCTGAACTACTAGTTGGTTAAACTGTTCAGTTAAATGGAGAAAATATTGAAGTTGTCAAGGATTTTATTTTACTTGGATACACAATCAATGCCCATGGAAACAGCAGTCAAGAAATCAAATGACACATTGCTTTGGGCAAATCTGCTGCAAAAGACCTCTTTCAAGTGTTAAAAAGCAAAGGTGTCACTAAGGATGTCACTCAGGTGTGCCTGTCCTAAGCCATGGTATTTTCAATCACCTCATATGCGTGTGAAAGCTGGATAATGAATAAAAGAAGACTGAAGAAGAATTGATGCCTTTGAATTATGGTGTATATTCAAGAATATTGAATATTGAATATACCATGGACTTCCAGAAGAATGAATACATCTGTCTTGGAGGAAGTACAGCCAGAATGCTCCTTACGAGCAAGAATGGTGAGACTTCTTCTTAGTTTCTTTGGACATATTATTAGGAGGGACCAGTCCCTGGAGAAGGACATCATGGTTGGTAAAGTTGAGGGTCAGTGAGAAAGAGGAAGCCCCTCAATGAGTTGGACTGACACAATGGCCGCAACAATGGGCTGAAACATAGCAAAGATTTGTGAGGATGGCACAGGACTGGACAGTGTTTTGTTCAGGTTGATAGGAGTCAGAACTGACTCAGTGGTAGCTAACAACAACTGTTTGGTTTTAGGAAGAGTTTAGGGCATATTTTTGGTTTAAGGTTTACAATTTATCTCAGGGCAATAGTTTCAAGGGTTCATCCAGCCCCCATGGCTCCAGAAAGTCTAGAGTCCATGTGAATTTGAGATTCCCCCTTTTGATCAGGATTCTTCTATAGAATCTTTGATCAAAATGTTCAGTAATGGTAGCCAGGCACCATCCAGTTCTTCTGACCTCATGGTAAAGGAGGCAGTTGTTCATGGAGGCAGTTAGCCACACATCCATTTCCTCCTTCTATTCCTGACTGTCCTTCTTCCTCTGTTGCTCCAGGTGAATAGAGACCAACTGTTGTGCCTTAGATGGCTGCTTGCAAGCTTTTAATATCCTAGGCACTACGCAACAAGCTGGAAGGTAGAACAGAAACACTAAACACATTATTAGGTCAATTAACTGGGATGTTCCATGTTCCTAAACTATGTCCCTAAACCTCCCATGAGGTGTTTGGTTATACATATGATAGATTTTTTTGATATACAATTCTTAGTCAAAGGCTATGAGCACATTTAAAATCATTTATACATATAACAAGTTCTTTTTGTAAAGGGTTGTACCAGTTTGTACTCTCAACAACAGTAAATAAGAAGGCTTATCAATGGATTTATTAATAGTAATAAATATAGTAAAAAATCTTCGCTAGTTTGATAAGCAAGCAAAAAAGAAAAGAAAAAAGAAGATATCTAAATTTTTTAGTGCTGTAATTTTTTCCCTATATTTTTAGTCTATTCCCTTTCCCCTGGAGCCCTGGTAGCATAATAGTTAAGCGTCTGACTGCTAACCAAAAGGTCAGCAGTTCAAATCCACCCGCAGCTTCTTGGAAACCCTATGGGGCAGCTCTACTCTGTCCTAAAAGGTCATGAGTTGGAATTGACTCAACAGCAATGGATCCCTTTCCCCTTCTCCCTGCCTTCATTTTCTCTCTCTCTCTCTCTTCGTTCTCCCTCTCTGTCCTGTGATCAGGTATTCTGTACCTTTCTATTGATTTGGGTCTAAACGTCTGCTCTTTCATAGATTATAAAATTTTGCCTTATTTGTTGATAATATTTCCTCCCATTTGCTGCTTGACTTTTAAATCAGGTTGCTTTAATATTTTATATCTTTTAGTAAAATGGACCCATGTTTTTCTTTGTAATTCCTTCCATTGCTTTCAAGCTTCAAAGTTGGCTCCAGAGATCCGATGAAAAGAAAAACTTATATTAACTTTTAGATGTTTACAGTTTGGGTTTTGTTTAACTTGAGTCCACGTGGGATTTATTTTCATAAAGGCTTTGATGTGAATATCTAAATTTCCCCCAAATGACTAGTCAGCTGTAACTGTGCTATTTTTAAAAACTATTATTCTTTTCTCCACTGACACACAATGCTTCTCTTAGCATGTATCAAATTATTATATATACTATAAGCTGTTTCTGGACTTCCTATTTTGATCCCTTGAACTTGGGTGATCTATTTTTATGCCAGGACTATAGTGTCTTAGTTATTATAGCTTTGTCATTTATTTTGACAGCTGATAGGCCTAGTTCCTTCTCATTAGTCTTCTCTCTCTAAATTATGTTAGAAATTTAATCTTTCAGATAAATGTAATATCTTTTTTTTCCAAATACCTCTGCTCCTGTCAAAAAAAAAAAAAAAGAAAAAAAGTCTTGGAATTTTGACTGGCATTGTAAAATTAAGTGGATTCAGATTCTTAGTAGCTTTACAGTATTTCTTCTTTTGAGATGTCTCTGCATTTATTCAAATATCCTTTTATATCTCCCAGTAAAATTTTTTATGTTCTTCACTGGATTTGATGCCAGTCTTTTTAAGATTACTGCTTGTATTTTGGATGCTGTTGTAGTGAGGTTCTTTTGTTAGTCATAACAAATATATAAGAAAGCTATTGATTTTTATATCCACTTTTGATGAAACCACTTACTCCTGTTAATTTTAATAGCTTTCAGTTGATTCTCTTGGGTTTTTTAGGTAGACGGTCATTTCATCTTCACATGATGACATTTTTTCTCTTCTCAAACTCCCATACCTATTATTTTGGGTTTTTTTTTTTTTTTTTTTTTTGTCTTTGGATTGGTAAGCCCTTCCAGGGCGTTCATAAAAATTCTGGTGATAATGACCTTCTAGGTCTGTTCCTGACCTTATTGTCACTCTTATTTGATATCAGCAGACAGGTTTTGTGGTTTGCGTCAGCTATTCTTTGCCATTTTTAAGTCCTGGTTTTCTTGTTGCTCTAAATGGCACGGTCATTCTCCCCATCCCCCAATGCCAAAGCCACAGTGTAATCTGGGACCTGCCCCCGCCTCACCTGCTGATAAAACCCTCTGCCGTCGGGTTGATTCCCACTCCTAATGACCTTATTACCTGCCTGTATCATTAATTACCAGTCCCATTGCTCCTTCACAGTGCATTTGGGCCTGTCTTTTCATTCCCCATGCCACTACCTTGGTTCAGGCCCTTTGCTTGGCGCCTCTAGTCTACCCTGACTTCAAACCATACCAGATGGTCCTGCCAGGTTGACCTTTAAGTCTCAGGTCTGGTTATATATCCCATTTCCATTGAAAAGTCATCAGTGGCTCCCCATTGCTCTCTGGACTAAGTCCCAGCTCTTTATTTTGGCACTTAAGGCCTTAGCAGATAGGCCTGGCAACCGGTTTCCAAAAGGTCACAGCCTTGAAAACCCTATGGAGCAGTTCTCTGTACATATGGGGTCGCCATGAGTCAGAATCCACTCCATGGCGACCACCACCAGCCGCATAACATGTCCCTATCTTCCCTGTACATGCTCATCCCCTGTGGCTCCTTGGCACATCTCCTGAGGGCCTTTCCTGAGCCTGGGGAGAACATCATGTTGCCATCTCTTCACTGCCCATTGCAATTCTGCTGGACAGCCCTTACCTTACAGGTGTCTCCCTTTCCATACTGTACTTGATCATCTCTCCTGCTGGCTGGAAAGCTTCTTGGGGATAGTAACTCATTTCTGCCTGCCCCATAGTGCCCCACAGCCCGGCCTTGCCCTATGACAGGTGCTGACTGAAATCCTGTCAAAATATGCGGAAACTATCTCCAAGGCCACAGTGAAGATGAGTCAGCAAAAAGCTAATAAGAAACTGACATTTCTGACTTTTCAGCAGGTTGGGGTGCTTTTTGACAAGGTGACAGGCAGCCAGAAACCTGACACACACTCAAAGTGTGGCTGTCAGTTCCAGAGGGGCTTGGGCTGCCCTGGAGGTCTGCAAATGACTGTCACCTGGGATTATTTTGGTTTTAGGGATACTTCATTTCATGGACTGAGTTTTATGCAGCATTTTTTATAATAAATAAAATATTGATCTAGGTTCTATGCCCTGAATAAGAGGAGGAGGAGAACAGAGGGGAGGGCTGGAAAGGGAAGAAGATTGAATTTGGCATTTGAGGGAAGGAGAGAACTGGCAGACAGGGAGTTTAAGGTGAAGGTGGAGGAGGCAGTCTCAGCATTCCAAGATGACATTTCTAAGATAGAAGGAAACTGAGCATTCTCATGCAGACAGAAAGAACAGGGTTTTTGAAAACTGCTTTTGAACACACTTATGATCCAGCCAGTTGATTGTTTTTTTCTTTTCAAATAGTTTTTCAAATCACTGTAACTTAGTGCATCTGCTTGCTGTCATTTTCAGTTATACTTAGCAAGTGACCACCGGACCCTACTGAAATCATCCAAGAAGTCTTGGCTCCAGGAAGTTTACCTGACGGATGAAGTCTCCTACCTGAACTGCTGGCAGGCTGCGTATGTTGACCCCCAACTGCGCCTGGAATATGAAGGCTTGCCCATCGCGGTGAGCACAGCAGAGGGAAGCATGGGAGCCAGTGCTATCAACTGGATGGAATTTATTCCTGTCCACAAAGAGGAGACTTATCAGTATTACAAAGCAAATGGTCTCTCTCTCTCTCTCTCTCATAACACAAGTTTGGAAGGCACCATTTTGCCCTGTCGCAGAATCCTGCGTTGGTATTTCTCAGCTCTGGTTGCACATTATAATCACCTTAGAAACCCTGGTTGCGTAGTGGTTAAGAACTATGGCTGCTAGCCTAAAGGTTGGCAGTTCGAATCTACCGGGCACTGCTTAGAAACCGTATGGGGCAATTCTACTCTGTCCTATAGGGCCACTATGAGTTGGAATCGACTCGACAGCAACCGGCTTTTGTTTTTTTTAGGGAGCATTTTGGAGTCCCTTCTTGGAGGGAACAGTTAATGTGCTTGGCTACTAACCAAAAGGTTGGAGGTTCGAGTCTACCCAGAGGTGCCTTGGAAGAAAGGCCTGACGATCTACTTTTGAAAAATCGGCCATTGAAACCCTATGGAACATGGTTCTACTCTGACACATGTGGGGTTGCCATGAGTAGGAGTCAACTCCCTGCCAACCGGGTTAAGGAGTTTTTAAAAAATACTGAAGCCCAGGTCCTGCCCCTGACTTAATTGTCAGGTTGAGAACCACTGACCTTAGATGGTGTCTTGGTTTCCTAAGGCTGCTGTAACAAAATACTACAGAGCGAGTGGCTTTAAAGAACAGAAATTTATTGTCTCACAGTTCTGGAGGCTGGAAGTCTAAATGAGGGTATCGGCTGTGTTGATTCCTTCTGAGGGCTCTGAGAGAGAAACTGTTCCATGCCCCTCTCCTTGCTCCTGGTGGCTCCTGGGCCATCCGTGGTGTTCCTCGGCTTGTAGATGAGTCTTCACATAGCGTCTTCCCCTGTGACTCTGTGTCTGTCCTCTTTTGTAATCCACTACTCAGGTGGGATTAGGATCCACCCTATGCCAGTATGACCTTATATTAATCTTCAAAAACCCTTGTTCCAAACAAGGTCACATCCACGGTATAGGGGTTAGGACTTCAACATATAATATTCAACGTTTGGGGGACACAGTTCAGTCCATAACAGATTGTGAGCATTATCTCACTATTTTCTTTCAGCTCTTTGTTAAGGACTAATTTCTAAAACCAAACCAGCTGCTGTTGAGCTGATCCTGGCTCATGACGGTCCCAGGTGTGTCAGAGTAGAACTGTGCTCCATAGGGTTTTCAGGAACTGATTTTTCTGAAGTAGGTCACCAGGCCTTTCTTCTAAGGCACCTCTTGGTAGACTCGAACCTCCAACCGTTGAGGTAGCACTCGAGTGTGTTGACTGTTTGCATCACCAGGGACTCCACTAGTTTCTGAAGAGACTGGGAAGCCTGAGGGCAGCAGAGGAGACAGCAGGGCAGCCACACAGGTGAACGCAGTGGTCCTGCAGGGCAGCACCTTTCTGCTCCTCATTTCTGGTCATTTTCTCAGGACCCTGGGCCTTATGAGACTGGATCCTGAGGCACAGCCTGAAGGGAAGGGAGAGTCTGATAGTTAAGAGCAGGCATCATTGTTTCGGGGTCTGGAGGTTTTGCTGCTTGCTCATGACCCATCCAGCAGATGAAGAATGAAGAGCCCTTAGAAGTCACTGGGAGAGCGTGGAGTTATAGCAGGGCAGAGTCTAAAGAATTTGTTTGCCGAGATGGCCGTCCACGGCCACTGCCCACTCTCCAGGAAGTGGCCGCCAAATACAGGCCCCTCTGAATCTGCCAGACATGGTATGCTTCCCTCCAAGCTCTGCCAGGTGGACCCCGGGTGCACGAGGTTCTCTCTCACAGCATGGAGTCTGTACCTTGCCTATAACAAAATACTCCACAACTTTCTTCTCTTCAGTTGGCCTTTGCCAAGCTTTATTCTTCTTGGAATTGCCTCTCATTTCCATGGCTTATACCGTCAGTGTCTCTGTTCTCTGTTTCCTTATCTTTAAAACGGGGGTAATAATACTACCTACCTTATGTGGTTTTGAAATTCCTGGGTAATACAAATGGTTAACATGCTTGGCTGCTAACCGAAAGGTTGGAGATTCGAGTCCACCCAGAGGCACCTTGGAAGAAAGGCCTGGAGATCTACTTCAGAAAAATCAGCCACTAAAAACCATATGGAGCACAGTTGTACTCTGAAACTTATGGGATTGCCATGAGTGGAAGTTGACTTGATGGCAACTGGTAACTGGTAATATGAAGCTTCGTGAGGATTAAATCGTTAGCATAATTATAGTGCTTATTAGAAAAGAGCTTGGCTTACAGGAAGCACTCAGAAGTGTTAATTACTGTTGTGGTTTATTATTGTTATTATTGATGGAGCAGTGGCCTAGGTACCAGGAGCCCTTTCCTGCATTGCTAACTCACCCTGTGGTCTGGAACAGTCTCTGAACCTCACTCTGACATGGTTACACCTCTGCAAAATGGGAAACCTAAGAAGGAGGCTTGGTGGCACAGTGGTTAAGTGCTTGGCTGCTAACCAAAAGGCTGACAGGTCAAACCCACCAGTGGCTCCACTAGAGAAAAGACCTGGCGATCTGCTCCTGTAAAGATTACAGCTTAGGAAGCCCTATGGGGGCAGTTTTACTCTGTCATGTAGGGTCTCTATGAGTTGGAATTGACTCCATGGTACCCAGCAACAACAACAACAAAGACTATTGGAGCAAACTTGTACGAGTCAATCTCCTCCCGCAGAGACTGCCAAGGACACACCCGTACTGAACAAGTTGGGGTTATTACTGTTGCCCTGAGGAAGAACGCACAGCGTGGGGAACCTTGGCACCTCTCAGTAAGAGGGTGTTAGAAAGGAGTTACAGGATTTGGCTTTGCTTGTGTGCTTTTGTGGAGGGTTCTAGGAAATAGAGGTTTGCTTGGGATTGGATGCTTTCAGGAAGCAGGGGGATAATTCCATGATTGTTGTTGTCAGTTGCCATCAAGTCGATTCTGACTAACGGCAACCCTATGTGTGCAGAGCAGAACTGCTCCATAGGATTTTCAAGGCTGTGGCCTTTCGGAAGCAGATCACCAGGCCTGTCTTCTGAGGCGCCTCTGGGTGGATTCGAACTGCCAATCTTTTGGCTAGTAGTTGATTGTTTAGCTGTTTGTGCACCCCGAGACTCCTAATTCGATGATTAGGTATCTCAGTAAATCTTACCTGGAAGGAAGGCAGACTAGAGGGGCTAAGGCTGTAGTTTGTAAAGAAGCAGCAGTCATTCATATTAGCCAGGAGTGCGCGATATGGGGTATTTTGTGTCTTGGAGAACGTTCATGTTTTGTTTGTGTTCACACGTGATCACGGAGTGGTCTGTTTTTGTCTTGGCCCATCACGGTCAGAGAGTGGACTTGCCTGATGCTGACCTTCTGTGAAATTGACTGTGTTTAACGGGAGAACGCCCATGCCCAGCTGTGAGGGCCGGGCCAGCTGCTGGAGGCCTGGGCTGTTTTCCTCTTTTAGCTTACATGAGCCAGAAATTTGAAATAATATTTATTGTTTTTTTCTGCTTGTAAACATAATATATGTTCATTTGTGAAAACTCTGAAAAGTATAATAAATAATCTGAAAGTTGCCAGTAGTTAGTTCCACCTTCTGAGCATAATCACTGTTGCTTATCATTTCCTTCTTTTTCTACGCATATACTCTTTTTTTTTTTTTTTACAAAATAGGGGCATTGTGAATATACTTTTTTTCTCACTTCGATCACCACTGGCCATATTTCATCTTCTCCAATTTGACTTTGAATATGGATGTCTGCAATAATCAATCCATTATGGTTTGGCTTCTAGGTTATTCCCATTTTTTATTAAAAAACTAAATTTACATGAATAGACTGTAGAGTGTTTTCTCCAGTGTTTTGCTTTTAGGAAGCCTAATTCGGCATGCAAATAACACGTTTTCTTTATCTGTCAAGGCAAATGCAAAAATCCTCATCAATCACTGCCACACGAATCGGGGACTGGTGGCCCATCGGCACCTTTTTATAAGGTATTGAACAATCCTTTGTTAGTGAAATATTGCCACATAGAACTTGGATGGTGTGAAAAATCATATTAAAGCCCTCCCCCCCACCATTTACAAGTCCTTCTCCCACAGGAGAATTTTAGCTATAATAGGATACTACCCTGGGTAGTACAATGTGCTCAGCTGCTAACCAAAAGGTTGGAGGTTCGAGTCCACCCAGAGGAACCTCAGAAGAAAGCCCTGGCAATCTACTTCCAAAAAAATCAGCCATTGAGAACCCAATGGGGCACAGTTCTACTCTGGCACACATAGGGTCGCCATGAGTAAGAATCAGCTCAAGAGCAACTTGGGTTTTTTTGGGCTTACCCTCTTAATCCTTGTCCAACCAGGGTGAAACATACCTGCCAAAATGTCTATTTCGTAGAGTCTCAGGGAGTTTATATAGCAGTCTGCTCACTGAGTGTTGGTATTGAATTTCCAACCAGTGTTCTTTCTCACTCTAGTACCTATTTTGGAAAGGAAGTTGAGGTCGCTGCTCACACACATCTGGATTCACACAGAGTTGAAAAACCAAAGAATCATTGGATGCTGGTCACTGGGAATCCCAGGAAGGACTCATCCACCATTTTGGACCTGCCCAAACCCCGGGCGGAGGACACCCACGCCACAGAGCAAGCCATGAGCCTTAACGCGCAGTAACACACCCGGCACTTGTTCTTGGGTCTTGCTTTCATCAAATGTAAGGTTAAAAGAAATTGACAATTTTGGTCATGCCTCAGGCTATTATTAAATAAAGTGTAGAAGCCTCTGAACACTGTATTAAAACAAGGCTATACTAAAATTATTGAATTGGTGTAGGACATCTAGGCTACAAATAATACCAGCTCTGAGGAATACTCAGAAATAGTGTTTGAGGGTGGCAGATGATGCTTTGTCAATATCCTGATTCTGAAGAACAGCTTCCTCTGCTTAGATCCTAAAAGGAGCACCTTGTACAAGGATTCTGTGTTCATGTTTAAAGCTGTGTCCACATAATGAAGCTCTCAGAATGCTACTGGATTTGTGGCATCACTTCTCACCTTTTGACTGTACAATATATTAAAAAAAATCGGCCATGTATAGCTTTGAGCTTTGGCCTTATCTCTGGAGTTAATTTTTTTTTTCTCCCCATCTTGTAATCATCGTATTTTTGTTTCTTCCTTCATTTTAGGGGGTCAGAACCTCTGTGACCCGTAACTCCTTCTTTTTTTTTTTAAATAATTTATTTTTGCTGTTGTTGAGAATATACACAGCAGAACATACACCAATTCAACAATTTCGACATGTGCAGTTCAGTGACGTTGATTACATTCTTCGAGTTGTACATCCATTCTCACCCCCCTTTTTTGAGTTGTTCCCCATTTACGTACACTCACTGCTCCCTAAATTTTCTATCTAATCTTTCCAGTTGCTGTTGTCACTTGGATCCCATATAGATAGATCTCAAAAGAGCACAATGCTCAAGGCAGACGTTCTTCAGTAGTTGAGGTAGACTATTGTTGAGTGACCAGAAACTTCTGTTTTGTAATGATTTTTGAACTGCACGTCCCTTTAGCTCTGCTTTATCTTTGAAACTGCACGTTAGTTGTGGCACCCTCGTGATCAGAAAATTCTGAATAAAATAAATTCACTCAACATCTCCTGATGGAGTGTGGAGCTTTTAAAAAGGAAAGTGACTGCCTTATTTTTAAGAACAATGATTTAGAACCATTTATTATTTGCTAATAATTTGATATAAATTCGGTAATCATGGAAAGTTGTCATAAGGAGAGCCTGCAAAAATGCCTGGGTCCAATTTCTAAGGAGAGACCGACCATATTGCAAGGAAGACAATTGGTTAACATGTCAAGAACTGTTGTAAGTGAAAGAGAACGCTACACACATCACATTAGAAAAATGGACAAAGGGCTTGACTAGCAATTAGAAATAATTGAAATATCCAATAGGCATTTCAAAATATATTCAAATAAAGATAAGAAGAAGAGGTCATTTCCTTCACCTAACTGGAAGGCAGTGACAGAAGAATGTCAGAACCTACAGGGGCCAAAGCTGATTTGGCCTTACCTGGCCATTTTACAGGAGTCCTTGGTGGTACAAATGGTTAATCCCCTCGGCTGCTAACTGAAAGGCTGGAGGTTCAAGACTACCCAGAAGCGCCTCCAAAGAAAGTCCTGGTGATCTACTTCCAAAAAATCAGCCATTGAAAACCCTATGGAGCACAGTTCTACTCTGACACTCGTGGGGTCACCATGAGTTAGAGTCAACTCAGCAGCTACTGATTTTTGGTAGGTCATTTTGCGGCGAGGAAATAGGCCCAGATGTTCTAGAACGGGCATATTAAGACCACAGGGAAGACAGAGGCAGGGTGGACCTAAAGCCCCACCTCCGGATGACAGTAGCTGCTGGGATATCAGGACTGATTGACCTTCCCTCTAAGTACCTTGTAGAGTGGAACAGATTCAGATTCACACATGTTTTGAAGTCTCCTGGAAAGAGACCATGTTTCTCCTGTCAATTTGCTCTTGTAGTTCTCTAATGTGGCCACAAGGTGTCAGTATTAGGAATGCTAACAAGTCAATGCTTGACATTGCGTTGAACTTCTTCTCAAAATAGGAGGGAGTTGCCAGTTTTCAAAATGCACATTTTAAGAGAGGAAAAACTATAAAAGCACCTTGGTCAGGGTATCATTCAACTATTTTTTTTTCCTTTGTAAAAGAAATGGTGCATTAGGCATACGTAAAAGCTGCTTTTAACAGCATTCCAAGGGTTTGTGCCAAGGGGAGTTTAAGTTAGAATACAGCCCCTGTGGGACTTTTTATAGACATTCTGTCTGAAGTCTGGAGTTCTCCCCAGGAAGTTGTATTCTGAACCCCAGGTCTGGGGCTCCAAAGCCGCAATCAGAGAAGGCAGTGTGATGTATACAGTGGCCATTCCAAAACTTTCTCTGCTGTTGACCAGCTGTGGCTAAGTCATCATAGCTAAAGTTTATTGAGCACTTACTATGTGCCATGCACTATTCTCAGCACTTCTCCATTCATTCACCAGTTTCATCCTCACATATAACCTATGAGATTGGTACCATCATTACCTGGATCTTGCAGGAGAGGAAACTGAGACCCAGAGAGGTTAACTTACCCAGTGTTGTACAATTAGGAAGTAGGGTGAATCCAGGTAATCTGGATCCAGGACCACAGAGCTTAACCATTAAGCTCTACTGTCTCTCAGGCAAAAAGCCCTGGATACATTTTGTTGAATTGAATTGGAAATTAATTAATACTACAGTGCATTATGGAGAATGACCACAGGTGTGCATTCAAGAGCTACATTTAGGCCTGCTTTAAGCATGCCATCCAAGAGAACAGGGAGAACCGTGTCCACAGAGGGCAACTGAATGAGTGGATGGGAACGAGTCGGGGAAAGGGAGGATGTAAGGGGGCACCTCTCAGCTCAGGTACACCCAGTCCAGGCAGCCAACAGGCATGAAGGGGAGGGGGCAGCTGGGAGCAGTGGTGTGGACGGTGGAGAAGGACTGGGAGGTGGCACTCCCTCACCTCTGCCATGAACTTGTGGTCATAGCCAGCTCTCAGCAGAAGGCAGTGCTGAGTTCGCCACGCCACCCACAGTCTGCCTTGGTGCACCTGGAAACTCAGTCACCCACCTGCGCCCTTCAAGCTTGCATAGATTGCACCTGGGGTTAATCTCCTGTACCAGTTCTGATGGCAAGTAGAGGCTGTCCGGAGCCCTGTGTTGGCCAGGATTGGGAGGCTACACCTAGTCTCAGTGGGAAAGAGCATTAAAGATGACCCTAAGTGTCCAAGAGTGGGCTGTGGGTTACATTTTGGCCAGTCTGGCCCCAACCCTTTCCTTCTGATAGATCCAAAGTCCTTCAGGTCCTCCAGCCCTCCTAGGCTGGTCAGGCGGGCTGGCATATTGGGTTGCCTGGGGAACTAAGCAAAACAGCCGGACCCACCCAGTCTCCACCCAGAATCCTGGCACTTGTGCACCATGTTCTAACTCACTGATGAGAGTCACACATGGACACGCACCCTCCTCCCATCCCAGAGGGAGCCGGAGGTGGTGTCTCCCACGGCAGCCCCTAGCTGCTGACCAGGAGTCTCCGCCCTTCCTCTCTCCCTGCATGGTCTCTGCTCTGTGTTATTGTTGGCCAATGTGGAAAAAGTTGAACATCTGCCAAACATCTGCTCATGTCTCCTGAATGTGCTCCCAAACAGACGGGCAGGAAGCAGCCCCACCCTGAGGCTCAGCCGCCAGGGCCTGTGCGCTGTCACACCAGGACCCGGCCTGGCTGGCTTGGGGCTGGGAGTCCCCTGAGCTGAGATCTGGTCTCTTCCTCTGGGGAGGTCTAGGAGGGTGGTGGGAGGGACTTGTTGGTTCTACGTCCCACTACCTCACCCCAGGAAAAGGGACACTGCCGTGGGTCAGGGATGTTCAACAGAAGAGAGAGGCATCAGAGATGGCTGGCGATGGGAAGCAGGGAGGTCAGAGTCTCCCCCTGGGAAGCAAAGAGGGCAGGAAGTGCCCTCTCCTCCCGCGATGGACGTGGGAAGGAGGAGTGTCTTAGCCTGGGATCCTTCAGAACTAGACCTTGAGACAATGATGTGGGTACAAGGAGTTTATTTGGGAGGTGACAGGAGACAGAGAAGAAAGTCAACGGAAGGTGCTTTATCAGGCAGGTTACGTTGGAGGCAACGATCCCACTGAGGAACCCCAAGAGACAGAAAGTGCCTCAGAGTTACCCCCCTGAGGGGTGAGCAGCTGGGAGAGCTGTTCTTCACTCCTGTCTGTCATTGACAAAGGGCATCCACTTCCTGCCTTTTCTGGCCTGCCCTGGGGAGGGGGCGGAGAGAAGGCCCTCAGGTGGAGGGTTCCGGGAACTGAAAGTTGGAAGCCACAGGGGGGGTATGGGCAAGGTACAGACAGCCCCTGTCACAAGGGGCAAATGAAGGTCAAAGAGGAAATGATTGTTTTCCAGGATAGCTGGGGAGCATGGACCTAAGGGTCAGTTTCTTTTCCCCCCTTCCCTCTCCCTTCCGTTTCTCTCTCTCTGCCTCTCTGCTCTGTTACTTGCCCCTCTTCCCTCCCTCTGTTTCTCTCCTGTCACCTCCGCCCTTCCTCCTGGCTCCTTCACCTCTCTGCCTCTCTTGTGTTCCCTTTCTACCTGCCTCTCCATCTCTGTTTTTCTTCTGTAGCCCAAACATTGAACAAGCAAGGGGTGAATTCATAAAGCAACCTATTTCCTGTCTCCCAAAAAAAAGCCAAACCAGTTGCCATCCAGTCCACTCTGACTCGTGGCGACCCATATGTGTCAGAGTAGCACTGTGCTCCATAGGGTTTTCAATGACTGATTTTTGGGAAGAAGATCGCCAGGCCTTTCTTCCGAGAAGTCTCTGGGAGGACTTGAACTGCCAAGTTTTCGGTCCACGGCCCACCATTTGCAATACCCAGGGACTCTGTCTCCCAAGGAAGAGCCCTTTCATTCTGTTCTATGGGGCCAGTTCCTCCCCTTGCCTTGAATGAACACTCCAGCGGTACCTTAGCTGGTCAAGTGTCCTTTGACCACTTTATGTTGCTAAACACTTAAACACAGACTCTGTTTAGTAATTAAAATGTCATTTTCCCATGTAATAATAAAAATGCTG